CCTTCCTGATGTTTTTCAATCTTTGCTTTTTGCTTTCTAACTAGGTCAAGAAAGTTTTCTCGGTCTTGCTGACTCTGATTTTTGACTCTTTGTTGGCGAACTGCGGAAATAATTTTTTTCTGAGTTAGCGACCTAGTCAAGTGAGCATTTTTGTCTCGCTCTTTCTGAAAGTCCGCATAAAGTGGACTTTCTTGGCGCCACTTTTTTAAATCATAAACACCTCTTTCAATACTGTGATTTTCGGAAAATTGGCTTCTTAATTTTTTTTCACTAGTTGAGGGTAAAAAAGGGCTACTAACGGTTTCTCCGCTAGCAAACTTAATGAGTTCTAAACTAGGGGGTAATCATTCGAGACCTTTATCAAAATTAGTATTACTAATATCTAATGATTTTAATTTTTCGAGATTTTTAAAAGCGTATAAGGAACCGCCTATTTCATTAATTTTGCCATTAAGACCACCCCTATTACCATTACCAACGCTTAATACTTTTAACTGAGTGAAACGACTTAATTCCTCAGCATCTTCTTTTTGAAATTTGTTATTCATAATGTCTAACTCTTCCAACTTTTTCGGATTAATATTTATTTGGTTAAAAACACTTTTGCTTAAATAATTTTTTGCTCCCCGAAAAATAATTAAGTTTTTGCCGTTCCCTTCTAGTTTAGAACCTTCGACATCGGAAATATGGTTATTAGAAATATCTAGTTCTTGTAAATTGGGGGCGGCCTGAAAATCCAGAGATTTTAAATTGTTATTCGCCAGATTAAGTTTCACCAATTTCGGCAACTTATTTTCCATGGTTATCTTTCTAAAACTGCTGTTGTCAGTAATATTTATTTCTTTTAATTCCTTATGATCTTTTAAAACTAATTCAGTAATTTTTGTGTTGGAGATAGCAAGTGTTTCTAAAGCATTAAACTCGGTTAAATCTAATTCTCCTGTTAGTGTGTTATCATCTATTTTTAAATTTTTTTTTAAATAAGCATCATTAAAGTAAAATTTATCATTACTATCATTTGTAGTAAGTTTATTAGTGTAATGTTGTTTGATTCAGACTTGGGCTTTTTTCATGATTTTTTAATATTTATTCTAATTCTATACATGGTGCTTGACTATATCAATCATTTTAGCGTTTTTTCTTCCCGTCCCTATAATTTAAGTTTGGAATTACCTTCCTCTCACCCCAAACTTACTAATCTTTTTTTATTCCTTTTTGTTAGAAACCTTTTGGTTTTGTCAAGATGCTACTTTTTTCACAATTAATGCCCGCTTTTTACAGTTTTTCTATTTCTTATTTTAAAAACTTTATAATTCTACCTTATACTAATCGATAAAGCATTCAACCTAAAAGACCAGCAACTATCATGCGAGCAAAGAAATAACTCCACAACGCAATTTTAGTATATAAAATCGCGAAAAATTCTCGCTGTTTTAAAATCTTTATTAATAAGGAGTTAGAATGATTAAATATAAAGATTTATTAAATACTAATGCTATTTTGCGTTTATTAACTAGCCAACTAAACTTTACCCCCCAGCAAAGGGGAAAAAGCATATTTTTCCTTTGCCCTTTCCATAATGATAAAAGTCCTAGTTGTAGTTTTGAGCCTAATCGCAAAATATTTACCTGTTTCGCTTGTGGTTTTAGAGCCAGTGATATTTTTGATTTTTGAGCCCAGTATCGGAAAATCAGCAAGGAAGAAGCCGGCGAGGAAATTAGTCAACTGGGTTATTTCTCCTTATCGGCTTGGCAAGAAAAAAAAAAGGCAGAGGTCAAAGACCAAAATAAAATCTTTTACTTTCTTTCTCTAATAACTGATATTTACCAACATAATTTATTTACTCAACAAGGTCAGGAAGTGTTAAATTATCTCTATACTAAACGACAAATAGACCGCGAATTAATTACCCGTTTTTCTCTGGGTTGTAGCATTAGCGGTCAACAAATAGGTAATTTGTTTTTTCAAGCAAAAAATACTGATTTTGCTACCCAAGACTTGCTAACTACTAACCTTTTAGGAATAACTGATAATAACCGAATTTATGACTTTTTTTCCGAAAAGCAATTAATTATACCACTGGCTAATAAGGAAGGGGAAATAGTGGCTTTTGCTGGTCGCAAAATTGACGGAGGGGCAAGCGGAGCAGCACAAACCAAGTATAAATATTTACCAAGTTCTCAGTATTATCGTAAATCTTCTTTACTCTATAATTATTCAGTAGTAAAAAAAAGTCGTGCTACCGAATGTTATTTAGTGGAAGGATTTTTTGATGTGATTAGTTTAACAAAAATAGGAGTAGAAAATTGTCTAGCCTTATTAGGAACTAATTTATCCGAAGAGCAAACTAAATTATTACAAGAGTTAAAAAAGCGAATTATTCTTTTTTTGGATAGTGATAAGGCTGGTCAAGAAGCAACTATTAATATTTCCCTGCGACTACTATCACACGAAATTGATTGTGAAGTAGTAAAGGGTGATTACCAAGGCGACCCTGATGAAATTTGCCAGCAGAATGAGCCAAAAACAGTTAATAATATTCTTTGCCAAAGAGAAAATCCTTATTTGTTTGCTTTGGATTATTATTTTACCAAATGAGAAATAAAAGAA